TTCAAGGTCACTGTGGTTTTACCCTTTTTCACTAATCATTTATTTGTGAGTTATTAATTATTGATTGTAGTAAATTAAGTTCTGAGTGTAAAACATATAGAGGGCTTCTTCAGCAACAATCTCTATTTCATTCATTTCTTTGTGGTTCTGTTTTTTTTTTAACTGGCTCCACGATTGATTGCCTGACATAATGCACCTTCTGTGTCAACGTTGAACTAACGACCAACTCGTCACCGCCTCCCATTTGTGTTCCTGACTCGAGTGATATCACTCAAAGGTTTTTCTCAGCCTACGTGTCCAATCCGTCTCTATTTTCTTCTGCCTATTTGTTGGATTTATAGATCTTTGATATTTAAAGCAATTAGTTCCCTTTATGAATTTCGACAACACAATAAGAAGACGTAGTTTATCTGAAACGTGTAATGTGTGTGTTGGCGCAACACATTTCGAACATTCTGATCACACACACCAGTACTTGTCATACACAGTTTTTATAGAAGGCAAGAAAGCGTGAGTAATTACAGTACAGCTCAGATTGTGTACAGGTCAAGGTTACAAATAATGGGTAGGGAGGTGACGCAAAAGGTGTGGGTAAGAAAGATAAAGAGAGGAAAAAAACAAGGCAAAGAAGAGGTTTGAAAATATTATGAAGTAAATTGGTCCTTGATTCTAGCTTGAATTAACTAGGCAGGTTTAAGGTGATAACAAATAACTTTTGGATGCATAAGACAGGTTTAAGTCTATTAATGGCTAAGGCTTCAATGAATTTAAGTATGTGTATCTATTGTAATTATTCATGCTTTCTTGCCTTTTATAAAAACTGTATATGACAAGTACTCGTATGTGATCAGAATGTTCGAAATGTGTTGCGCCAATACACACATTACACGTTTCAGATAAACTACGTCTTCTTATTGTGTTGTCGAGATCTCTGATACTCAGATTATCAGATTTCTTGTGAGCTGGGGTGGTCAGCTAGAGAGAGAGAGATCATTGAAAGTCAGCGGGGAACATCGGATGGATGGATAGCTAGCTGTTGGTTTGATGACGAAAATCTAACCATCTATATTAATCCGAAATTTTCCTAAGAAATCCCACAATCTGGATAAAAATCATCAGCTTATTGATGGCCCCAAGTCTTTATTAACCTCGTTCAACAGCTGGTTACATGACAATGCCATGTGCCAGATAATCCACAACGGAAAATTTAGAGAAGCTTATGAAGTGAAGACAGGAATAAGACATGACTGTCTGCCTATTATCACAGTTGATACTCTCAATTGTGGTGGACTGCATTATGTGTCAGACTGTGCACATAAAAATAAATAAGTGAGAAGACAGGGATACGTTAGACTGACCAATAAGACGACTCTAGATGATTTGGATTTCGTGTGTGGATAATTTATGTTTAATGTGACACACACATACGCATAAACTCGAAGACTTACTGTCAGGTGAAAACCAACAAACTAGCTAAAGAAGCAAAGAAGACAGGACTCCAGGTGAACATAAAGAAGACAGAAGCGGCGAAGATAACCAACGAACAGCAACAGCAACAACAGCACCAATTACCAGTAAAAGGAGAGGGATTTTACAGAGATTACTTCATTTACTTATACAGTCAGGAAGCATCGTTTCAACTACAGGCGGAACGGATGAAGGTGTCAAAGCCAGCTAGACAGACAGACAGAATCGTAAAGGTAAAATATGCCTTCACCAACCTGAAACCAGTTTGGAAATCATCTGCTTCACTCACTCAGCCGACATGAAGAACAAGATTCAGATTGTGTTCGACACAAATGTGAAGTCAACAAGTTCCTCTCTATATGGGTCACGAAGAGGATTTCTAACAGCGTGTTGCCGACTTTTGTCAACAGCTCGTTCCATAACTGTGGAGATCAGATGGCTGACCGGTTAGAAAGAATTAGCAACAAGGAATTCTGGCTGGCAACAAACCAACGCAGAGTTGAGTGTAGGAGAAATATGGAGATGGATCAGTTGAGCATACTTTAAAGAGACCGTTGAATGACATCTCGTGCCAGAGCAGTACTTGAATGGAATCCAAACGGGAAGCGACGAATAGTGGAATATCAGTGCAAAGGTGACATTGAGGAGATCGTGTGAGTTAAAGGAGGAGATGTGAGATTCTGGGCAATTGTGGAGCAGCTAGCCAGTTGTGAAGAGGACAGCAGAAGAATAGCACAAAGTGTCGATGTGTTGTGTGTAAGCCGTATGTTCCACTCGGAACCCATGGGAGTAATAATAATAATTATGTAATAATTGTAAGCAATTCACTTTATACAACTGTAGATTATGTGGTTTTCTTGTAGCAATAAAAAAAAATAACAACTATAGTATATATGTTTTCATCATCGGAAGTACGCACACACTGGGATTCGAACCCACGACCTTCCGGTTACAAGGCAAGCTCGTATACCATTTAGGCACTGGGACCCATGGTGGTCAGTCCATGACGTGGCGTCGTGGGATGAAGGATTTTTGTGCTAGATTAGCATCGGTTGGGGTGTCACGACTCCCTGGTTGGGGTCCGAGAGATAGCTCAAATCGATGGCTCGAAACGTTATCGGATATGACCAAGAATCGTAATCAATGGCGAATGTGTTGCGATTTCCTTCTTTCTTCCCTTCCCGATGATAGTTAACGAACACTGTTTGAACTTGTTAAGCATGAGTGTTTTCCTTCCAGATGAAGTTCTTTATCCGTTCTCTACTTATATGTATATTTTTCTTTTCCTTCCTTCCTTTTTTTTCTTTTTGATCTATGCTGTTTTATTACTATTATTGTGTGGCGCATCCTTCTTGGTGCCATATTGTACCAAGTTTTTTATGCGTTTAAATAAATAAATAATATATGTTTTCATGACAAGCTTAGAGAACGGCCCACTAAAGGAAACCATCGAGAGTTTGTTGATGTATAAAAGATACATAGATGATACCTTCATTGTCTGTGAGGAAAACTCTTCAACTGCCGAACTTCTTGGAATATTTAATGGTTCTCACCCATCTTTGCTTTTCACGGTCGAAGAAGAGTCGAATTCCTCGTTTCATTTCCTTGACGTTAAGGTAGATAGAAGAGAGAATGGAGCGCTGTTAAGGTCGATTTACCGAAAGCCAACATTCACAGGGCAGGCAGTACACTAACTTCAACAGTTGGGTACCTTTAGGCAGAAAGGGAAATCTTATTCATTCCTTATGCTCCAGAATTCGTGGAATCTGCTCTACAGAGACAATCGATAGGGAACTAGATAACCTTTGATCAAATCTCCTTAACAATGGATATATTCTACAAGGTTTATTGAACGTAACATCAAGAAAGAATCAGCCCCTAGACAAATCACAGTGCCAAAGAAAAAAACTGTTTATGAGTCTAGCATTCAAAGATGACACCATTTCTGAATTGATCTAAATGTGTTAAACGCACTTTTCCTGCAGCTGACTTGCAACTAGTTTTTACCAGCCGAAATATGATTAGACAATGCGTCAAGGATAAATTACCACTTTTGTCCACATCTATGTGTGGATTTACTCTTTTACCTGCTCTTGTGGAGCTGATTATATTGGACGTTGTAAGCTTACTCTCCGAAGACGTGTAGCTGAACACTATCCGGTTTGGTTAATGAAAGGCGAACGTAGAACTGTGAAGTCGTCTATTTGTGATCACCTGTAAGAGTCTGGTCATTTAGCCCCACGTGATTCATCTTTCAAAGTTATCTACATGGCAAAATCGAATTGCGCCAAAAGTTAACATTTTCTTCACTTATGCATAGCTAGCCGTAGCTTTAGCTATACATGAACAGAAACCTAAATTATGTGTTCAAAAACGTTTTGTCAAACCCCTTTCTTTACCTTGGTCATAGTAATGTTCTTGCTAGTTGTTATTTTATTTTACCACTTGAATTCTTTCCACTTCAATTGACATCTTTATTCTTATTGTAGTCGTACTCCTAATTTCTAAAATTTTTAGAAAACGCTTGACATTTTTTTATAATTTTAAATATTTTTGGTATCAATTCACTTATAAAACAATCTTTAATAATTTTGTAGTCCATCTACTTCAACTCTACTCCTTATAACATTTTAAATTTCAAGTATTTGTTTTGTAGGGATTTTGTCTGATTGTGTGAAGGATTTCACCATGAGCTGACATCAGTTAGAGAGCCACTGGAAAACCGACTGGGAGTACTGGACAGCTGTTTCGTCCTAGTTTGGGACTCTTCATCAGTATGCACCCACTGGGGTTCGAACCCAGGACTTTCTGGTTACAAGACCACTGGGACTCGATCCAATGGTTCTTGAATTCTAACTTCTGCCGGTTCACGACATATCGCGACCACTTCGCAATGTCTTCTTCGATGAGTTACTGCCCCAGCTACGACCTGCTGTCAGCTCATGGTGAAATCCTCCATCCAATCAAACAAAATCCCTACAAAATCAATGCTTGAAAATTCATCTGATGCTCACTAGCGACTGGCCGTAATCAGGCAGTTAACCTGGAGTTCTAGTGGGAAGCCGTGACCAGTAGGGTACAGCAGGTTGAAGATGAGGCAGTAACTCATCGAAGAAGACATTATGAAGTGGTCGCGCTATGTCGTGAATTGGCAGAAGTTAGAATTCATGGGCTGGCCATAGGACCGGGTCCCAGTGGCTCAATGGTCCATGAGCTCGCCTTGTAACCAGAAGGTCCTGGGTTCTAACACCGATGGGTGCGTACTGATGAAGAGTCCCAAAATAGGACGAAACAGCTGTCCAGTACTCCCAGTCGGTTTTCCAGTGCCAATTATTCAGTGCCACTTAATAACCTTTTTCTGTCATATAAATACGACTGTACAGCTTGAAAATGAAGTCGTTGAAAAGAGATATTTCTTCGCTGAACAAAAAGAAAAACTGTGTTTTTACTTATGAACTATATTATAATTGATGTTCTCCATTCTCTGGATTCCGATAGGTAACTCTGTCTATTATTCCTTTTTACCCTTATAGTTCATATCAATCCTCCACCTACTCCCCTGGTCAGCTCAAATTACAATAATCCTACTGAACAAAGCTCAAAATTCACTGTACAAACTTATAATTCTCCAAATCATCATCATCATACAGCGACAGCACAATTCAAAGTGGAAACATGTTGTCCTTGTCGAATGTTGAATACTGATGGACAATCTTTACAACATCAGCAGCAGGAGCAACAACAGAGGTATAATAATTCTCTTGATACAACAACACATACATCGAATAAAATTCCGATAACTAATACAACTACAGGAGCAAGAATAAAAATAGCCGATGTAAGTATGCTTGTGTAATCTTGTTGTTATTTTTATTATTACTATTATTGATTTATTATTTAGATATGATAGAGAATATTTGTAGCTGAGGTGAATGATTTTGATGTGGTTGTGTTCTCTCACCAGCTGGATAGTCAGTTAATTTGCTAAGCTTTCATCGCCCTACTTACGAGGCGACATCTTCAGCGCATAGACTTCAATTTGATGAAGTGAGCTTTTAGATTTCTCAACGAGTTTATTAATCATCTCTCCTGGTCGGTGACCTTGGACTACATCAGTTATGGAAAGCATTGTATTGGTATCAAAATGAGTATCTCCTTCCTTCAACTCCGGGATCACTTCAGAACACAAACTAGTTGTCAAAAGACCCAGCATGTGTTCTTTTTATATATCAGTGCATCTAGACGATTATAGACATTGATTTGACTGGAAAAATTTAGAGAGTTTAAACAGTGGAGACGCCGAAAATGCCTGATAAATTCTGGAAAACTCGTACTCACATGGTACAGCGATTAACAGAAATATTAATATAGATCATGTTTATCAAGTAATAAAGAATAAGCCATATGATTAATAAAAACTCAGCTTCCAAGTGTATAAGAACGATCACCACTGATACAGACTAACAACCACTCGAGAGACATTGGTTGTCTTAGATGTGGTTGTGTTCTCTGAGCTGCATAGTTGATTTGCGAAGCTTTCATCACCCTACTAGGTGACATCTTCAGCGCATACACTTCAATTTGATGAAGTGAGCTTTTAGATGTTTCCACGGGTTTATTAATCATATCTCCTGGTCAGTGGACATCAACGTGATTGGTTATTTTTGTGTGTTTTTTCACACCTTCTAGGTTACTTGTTGTATTGAAACTGATTGTTTCTTTGACTTGAACTTTGACCCTTTGTGTGTGTTTGAAGTTTCTTTCTTATAGGTTGATAAATTTTGTCTATCTCGATGTGTCTATTGATTGATGATTCACTGGAATGCTAGCCAAGCTTCTAGAAATTCAATAGCATTCTTGTTGTTTCCACTGTCTAATATTTGAACACTGGTTGTCCGTGTCGAATTGATGTCCGTGGTTTTCTGTATGCAGTAAGGCGATATGAGTGAGGGAGTGGATGCCATGTCTTGACGGCTAGCTTATGTTCGTGGATACGAAGACGGAGGGGCGTTGTCCACTTTGGCCAATGTAGTGTTTTTCGCAGCTGTTACAATTTGTTTCGTAAATGATGTTGGTTTTATCTTCTATCGCTGTTGATTCTTTTGGCTGCCATAGAGTGGGGTGAAGTGACTTTGTTGGTTTGTGTACGACGTCAATTCCTAAAGGTTTGAAGAGTCTTGTAGTGATTTCTGAGACATCCTTTATATATGGTAAGGCGATTTTCTTTGTGCTTTCCTTGGCTGGGGCTTTTGGTTTGATAGGTTGGCTTGGGAAGGGGGAATGTCTTTTGATGAAATTCCGTGGATATCCATCCATTCTTTTGGACGACGTCCATGAAATATTTTTCTTCAATTTTCCTTAAGGTGGGAGTGCTGGAATGAGTCCCGACTGGCCCTCTTGAATAGTGTATGTAACCTAGATAGTGTGAAAACACACAAACGCAATCAATCACGTCCAAGGTCGCCGACCAGGAGAGATGATTAATAAACTCATGGAGAAATCTAAAAGCTCACTTCATCAAATTGAAGTGTATGCGCTGAAGATGTCGCCTAGTAGGTGGGGCGATGAAAGCTTCGCAAATTAACTATCCAGATGGTGAGAGAACATAACCACATCAAAATTATTTATTAATTAATTAATTTATTTCATATGGAACGTCTTATTGAATTCAGCCATCCATGTAGCTCCCTCTAACTTGCTGCTTTCTAAGTGAATGTTGTAGGGATATTTGACTGGTAACAAATTGGGTCGTGAAGTGAAACCAGTTACACGGACACCTGAACAACTTTTTACATAACACTATACATACTACTGATTGGTTGAGATGAGTAGTAGTAGTAGTTGTGGTATACCACTCACACACATCAACCAGTGATGCTTGCCTGCCAGCCAGCCAGACTGAAGTGATCTGGAAATATCTAACAGTTGTTTGGGTCGGTGTACCCGGTATGACTCAGTCTAAAGAAGCGAATTAGTTCAAACCACACGATTTCTGGCTAGCTGTATTTGGCAGACTGGTGATTACAAGCTAAACGAATGAAACGACTGTCCCGCGCTTCGATCGTTTCGATCTGGTTGGCTAGCCAGATCACAAACTGTGATCTGAATAATCTTAGTTTCCGAACGAAACTGTGGTGAAAATTTTCAACCCTTAAACTGTTAACTTGAATACTCGTAGAACTTTCCGACTCTCCAGCAGTTCACAAACCCATGACTCCAATGAGAGAGTTGCACCCAAGACCTTGTAGAGTTACGAGGTAGGCACACGTTGACCATCCAGCCTCTAGGATGGCATCCAATTGTAAGTTCTGCGATACGGCACTGTCGGTAACCAATGTCAGCAATGAGTATCTGACCTTCTCACTCGTCAAAACTTTCTTCACATATGCCATTGGATTCCGTCTCACCGACTGAATATGCATAGCCAACTTGAAGGTCCTGGGTTCGATTCCTGCTGAAATCACGACTGTTCAGTCCTCCGTTGGATTTCATAGGTCTTCCAATTAATATTAGTGTACGTGGTCCAATTTTGAAGTTATTATCAGTCGTTATTATGATCATCACTAATCGTATAAACATCAGGAGGTTGCTACTACTTTCTTTAGTTTGGTTTTTAAGGGTTAATTTTGTTTCTACGAGTTGATCATGGATTGATATCAGTTAGAGAATCATTGAAAAAACCGCAGGGAGTACTGAACAGCTGTTTCATCCCAGTATATTGGGAAGCATCCTCAGTACGCACCCACAACAGGGGTTTGAACCCAGGACCTTCCGGTTACAAGGCCAGCAAGCTCGTATACCATTCAGCCACTGGGACCCGATTCAACGTCTCATGAATTCTAACTTCTACCAATTCGTGATGTATTTAGTGCGACCCTAACCATTGTCGTAGGTAGGACGTCCATCCTCACACGTGATATTTGGATGGATGTCACTGGTCACGACTTCTCACTTGCTATTATTGTCTGAAAATAGGATGACTGATTGGTTTCATCATAGAACCGATGTGCAGCAGTTCGAGTCGCCGCACTCCATGTAGCACACAAAGCAAGAGATATAAGACAAAAAATATTAGCAATATGGAAGAACAATGTAGTTTTATTGGATATATGTATATATAAGTCACAAGGATGAAACAGTCGGGAAATATCAATAACAACAACAAGTTAGTTAGTTAGTTAGTTACAGGATTTCATCATGAGCTGACATCGGTTGAAGAACCATTGGAAAACCACCTTCGGGGAGTACTGGATAGCTGTTTCCTCCATCCTAGTTTGGGACTCTTCATCAGTAAGAACCCACCACTGGGGCTCGAACCCAGGTCGGATGTGAGTACTAATACCCGCCGAAGACTTTGGCTAGTGGTTGCACTATATTCGTGAGTGAATTGGCAGCAGTTGGAATTCATGGGCTGGTCATTGGATCAAGTTCCAGTGGCTTAATAGTGGCTACGAGCTCGCTAGTATTGTAATCAAAAGGTCTTGGATTCGAACCCTGACGGTGGGTGGGGATAATAATAATATAATCACTTTATTGGATGTACTGTTCGAAGAGTCCCGAACTAGGATGAAACAGTTGGCTGTCTGACAGTACTTCCTGCAGGTTTCGCAATGGTTCTCTAACCGATGTCAGCAGCTCATGAGGAAATCCTGTAATCAGTCAATCAATCAATCAAATCCCTGCAAAATCAATACAAAATCAATGACTTAGTTGTCAAAACTGCGACAAGTCAGTCAGTTAATCTGTTTATCAGTGTAGTAAATTGTTTTTATCAGTTTTTATTTTCAGTCAATCATGTGCAAAGGATAATTTGGTCAGTTAGTGTTGTAAACACTATCTGATCTAGACAGACAGATAATCTTTAAAGAATATTTGGGGTTGATAAATAGCATAAATAAACGTGCTAGTTATGGTGTTTATGCATACGGATTGTTATTCACAAGGGACGCTTCTTCTGTCGCTTTTTATTCACGTGCCTAATAGGAATATCTACATAATGTTTATGAAAAAGGTTTTTACATTTTGATGGAATTAAAAAGGAACACAGTGAAAAAGATAAAATGATGGTTCTTGTCAGTTGATATATTAGCTAAGAGAATTTTCGAAAATCACGAGAGGTTTTGAAAAGGCCTTCGACAGACAGTGTCGATCGAGAGGTTATTTGGAAACTACTTCGCTAAAACTTGGAGAATCTAGACTTCGCTAATGATGACATATGTCTGATTTCCCACAAACACTGGAAGATATTCAAGTGGAAAGCAACAAGTCGGCAGAAGAAGCATCAAAGATAGGGCTTCAGATGAACATAGATAAAGCATAGGTGATGAAGATTCCTGGTCAACACCAACAGCCACAGAAACAACAACAGACAACAATCAGCCGGCATAAATGGGAGGAACCTGAAAGAAACTACCTCCTTTACCTGCCCACGCACCCAGGAAGCATCGTTTCAACTACAGGTGGATGGAATCGATGAGGATATCAAAGAAAGAATCGGAAAAGCAAGACAAGCTTTCACTACTCTTAAGTCTGTATGGAGGTCAACAGCACTCAGCATGAAAATGAATATGAGATCCAGGTTTTCAACTCCAATGTGAAGTCAGTACTACTATACATACGGATCAGAGACTTGGCGCGTCTTGAAGAGCACCTCAAACAAACTACAGACCTTCATCAACAGCTGTCTTCGCTCAGAACAACTCAAGATCAGATGACCGGCCAGAAAAGATCAAGAATAGAGATCTCTGGCAATGAGCGAACCAGCCAGGAACCGATTGTGCAACAAATAAGCAGGAAGAAATGGAGATGGATTGGTCATACTCTGAGGAAACCATCAAG